TCCTGTTGGGGATTTGACAACACCTAGGTGAGGTTTAAATCGCTATCCATCCTGGATGATAACATCTTTTTAAATTCAATGGAAACTTGATGTCTACTCATAGCATTGTAAGAAAATTAAACTACCAATTCTTCATCATCTCAAACGGAATAGGGTGAGCACAGCTGACATATATTAAATACCAGGTAAAGACATTGGTAAGAAAATGATAACGAGAGATAAAGGGAAGTCAAGAAAAGGCGATTGCGGTTAATTTCACCCTGAAATTATTCTGTAGGTTCACTTTGGGGTACAACTGACTAGAACCTTAGTTGAGACTATCAACTGAAGAGACAAGAGAAGCGTGCTTTACGTGATTCAGGAGTGTAAAAGGGAACCCTTGGATTTTTAAACAGACGTTTCCGAATTAAGCTGGACACAGGGCCCAAAAGGATAATTCAATGTGAGCTGGGATGAGAGAGGATAATTGGATGATGAGTCTGAAATCTGAAGAGAAGAAGATGCCTAGGCATGCGAATCGCCGATCCTTAAATAATCGAATATGACGTAAAAGGGAAGGCTCACAGGCAACCAGACAGTGATTTTAATGTGTAACAGGGATCAATTGACAGACGGAGTGGAGAGGGACAAAAGAAAATTCAGAAGCCGTAACCCAGAAGCACTGAAAACAACATTGAAACCGGTAGTGAAGGTCATTATGGTTCTCTAAATCTACTTAAAGCGACACACTCATTGGCGACATTGGAGGAAACGAAAACACAGAATGGTGGCAATATAGGGATGGACCATATAGTGGGGTTGAAATATATGCAGCACTAGAAGCCGGGATAACAAACAGGGTCGAGGAGTGATGCCACAACAGTTAAAAAGAAAATTGGTCAAGGTGGCTGTCCTTACTTGTCACTTTGATAAGATTTAATTCTGCTATAACGATGGGCGCCTCTCACTGGCAATGCCAATGAGACGTCCGGGAATGTACCAAGCCAACGATCCGAGGCTGGAAATAATGATGATTACTGTGGCATAGCACTTCTGACAAAATGCGTTCATCTAAGCCTGTCCACTATTAGATCTAGGTTGCTTAAACGAGGCAAAAATATATATATATATATATATATATAAATTTAGCTGGCCAAAAACAGATGCTGAAAAAGAAAATTTTTAGCTTAATTTAAATATCATCCCCACCCTGGCAATGCAAGCAATGAGTGGCCTTCCCGAGAGCCAAGGAGACCCTGCCATTCGTTGGAAGGCCAAGGTTTGCCAGCTGTGTAGAAGATGTAGGTGATAAGTGACTTGAATCAACTCCGTTGTAAGCTAACTCCTCAAGTCGAGGACAAGTGGGCAACGTAGCATGGCGGCGAACAGGAACTATGCGACCACGCTTTTCACGGTCAGTGGCCTCGGCTGCAATTTTAGCGAATACGCCATAATCCGGCCCACACGAAGCTTCACTTTCAGCTAATTCAGAGACCGAACTGGCACGTAGTTCCGATTCTGAATCAGTATCATGCTCAGACTCGCTCGCACTGGCACACAGGTCCTTATATTTAGCATCAGCTGCAGCAGCCGCAACGTCCTCGTGCATAGAAAGCCAGGGGCTAATCGCATCGTCATCCATACGAGGTCGTTTACGTGCATGTGGCTGCATCTGGTACCGACGTTCGGAATACCGGTTGGTTTGCTCGGCCCTGAGGCGAGCACTCACGGCCTCTGCGACAAGCTGTTGCTGACACTGGAGCATCTCTCTACGTAGTATTCATAAAATAATTAAAGGAAAACAAGTAAAATGCCATAATAATCATTTAGAAGATTTCTGTAATCATTAAAGAAATGAAATTAAAGAAATGGGACGATCTAATTTAGGTGTCAGTTATTTAGTATCAGCCCAGAAAGGCCACATGTATAGTACGTAACTACTTTTCTAGATGACCTTAATCGAATCCATTTGGAATTGTAAAAACAATCCAGAAGCTTTGTTACATAATCCATCGCCATAATGCAAAATTATCGATAAAATTGGCCAAGTTAAGTATTAGATTGAACAAAGAATGCAAGATAATGTCTTTAGTGGAGCAGCCACATCGTTTGCATACTAATAAATTGTTGAGCTTACTTCGATTTCGAGTGAAAGTGTTTGATGAAGAGATTCGAAGGTCGATTCCACCAGAAGACGACGGCGGATTCCTCTTGACCAGCTGTCGATCGGCTTTACTGGAAAATTCATGATAATGCTGTTTGCGAGGTAATCTCCTTCGATTCCGGTTAAAAGGTGCTAAGCTTTTGTCCGTCAAATGAAAAACATCATCAGATTAAGGTATCATCATCACAACCAAATTCAAGCTAACGAGCCCATAAAACTCATCGGCTCATCCCTAAAAAGCTGAATATATACCTTAAAGATAAGCTCTTTGATGAGGTATAAAGTGATTTGATTAGTTCCAGCCATATATCAACTTCGGAGCATGTGAGTATGTCTCTCTTGACTCGTTAGCTAGAATTTGGTTGTGATGATGATACCTTGCTCTGATGGTGTTCGTCGTACGAAAGCTTAGCACCTTTTCACCAGAATCGAAGGAGATTACTTCGGAAACCGCGTCACCATGAATGTTCCAATAAAGCCAATCGACAGCTGATCAAGAGGAATCCGCCGTCGTCTTCTGGTGGAATCGACCTTCGAATCTCTTCACCAACACACTTTTACTCGAAATAGAAGCTCAACAATTATGAAACAAGAGATTTCTCGAAACCCAGCTTTTCTTCGAATAGACTAATAAGTTGCCGAGTATGTGTTCAGCTTAGAGTAGGAGTC